AATCGCTGACCATCCCGGACCAGCCTCTGCATTCCGTCACAATTTCTTTTGTAAAGAATTTGCTATATGCTTTGCTATTTGGGCCTTCGTAGTTATACTCAAGTCTTGTCTTAATCAGACGTCTTCGGAATTGGTAGGCTTTTTATTTGGGGGGGAGATTTTGTAGCAAAACCTTTATTCAATCCCGATACATATATGTTTACCCAGAGACTCATGTATAAACGCGGCATATGTCTACCTATAGCCCCAAGTATAAAATATGACCTATGTCTATATAGTGACTCAAGTATAAAAACGACTACCTATAGATTCAAATATAATAAAGCAAACACATATTTCGAAATTAAATGATCCAATAGATGTTGATATATCACTAAATTCACTAAGCACTTACTACAATAGGAAATGACTGATAAAGTTATTAAAATATCTGTTATTTATATCGCTATATTGATAATAAAAATACGACAGTACGTCACAAAACCTGTATCGAGGTTGGGAGAAAAAAGGCTTTGCATTAGGCAATCGTAACAAACAGCATTTGGGATTAATTTGTTCGAGCAACTGAAAATAAAATGTGTCTTTTGAAATCAGGTCTTTTCTACCTGAAAAAAAAAAATTCTGGATTGTTTCCTTCTTTACAAAATTCTATTTTGTTTACTAAGACAAAAGGTTTTCTATTAACAGCCACACATTATAATTTGGTCCTTGAAGGCGAACATTCGCGCTGATTGTCTCTCTTTCTCTCTTTCTCGCACACACACACACACACACATTGGCACTCATCAGCAAATAATGTCTCAAGAATGGTTCCAAGGTATTTAATGAAATACGTTTCAAGGAAAACTTGCTCTGATGCCAATGGTATGCACTTGCCTGTGCGTATCGATGTATATATTCAAGAGATCTTATTTATTGTATTTACGATCATTTCATCATGTTTTTTTTTTTAAAAAAAAACCTATGCTATTCTACTCATTAATTGCTTTCACATTTTCCAGTTTATAAATTGACGGCACGAATGCTAATATTAGCCGTTTTCCTTACAAGGAAACATTCAACAATCATTAACGGAGCAGCCAGTGCTACTCCCGACTGAAGTTTATAAAAACTTTCTATTAAAAGACTTTTTCAGGAAGCAGATTTCTCAAGTCCACTGTGATCGCCCTTTTCAGTATTGACGGTGGCTTCCTGACTAACATTCCGTTTTTTATTAAGATTATTACAGTCTCAATCATTACTATTTTTAGTGTTATAATCAGCGTAATAATTGGTAATATTATTACAGATCATTAATCTTTTTACTAACAAGAAAGTTAAGAGTATTTGTTGTGGCTTTGTTAGGGCCAGAAATAAAGACACAAAGATAGGAATTGAGTTAAACAAATATATTAACAGAAACAGTAATACAAATATATACAAACGAGAGTGTTACAGCAAGCATGTTCGGTTCGACTGTCAGAGCTGACTGCTGGAAACTTCCCTCTCCAAAAGGCAGTACCTGCTCCCATTTATAGTTGGGAGAGTCCATGCGTGCGTGGGTAAATTGCTATAACAGTATTTCCTTGAGAACAGTATAAAAATAGGGCAATAGAGATGTAGTTCTACAGAAGGATACTGAGAATCCTATGGACGGAGCGGGGGAGCAACAAAGAAGTTTTTAGGAGAATGGAACCAAAAAGGACTCTTATACTTAATGTCAGAAAGGGAATATTGAAATTTCCGTGGATCATGATGAGGAAAGGAGGCTTGGAGAATTTGATACTCATGAATCATGTTGAAGAGAAGAGGAGCAGAAGGAAGCGCCGATTGGCAAAACTAACGAGAGTTTGTGTAAATGGATAGAAGAATACAGATTACAAGGAAAAATAAAGGGACAATCATCGCTACAAAGGATAGGAAGTTGTGGAGGGCCATGATTGCCCCGACACGGTACATTGAAGAAATATCCTTTCCTTTTTATTATATTTTGAATTTATTTTTTACTTTTTATACAAATAAAAATAAGGCTTTTTTTACCAGTTTACTGATTGACTTTGATGGAAATGGAATATTTTGTTTTATATCGCTGAAAAAACCCCAGACAGATTGATGCCTCCCTCCCAGTGAGAGTATTAGCAAGCGTGGCCACAATGGTAGTGTTTTGACAATGAGATTTGGGTTCGAATCTCACTTTAGTTGATTATTTAAGGAAGTGATTTCTTGATAATGTCCTCCTGCCTGATATTCATTCTTTCTTCCGTCTTTCCTTGCAATCAAAACGGAAAGGTCCATTATTTATCTGAAGCAATGGCAGGGTGTAACCAAAAAACAAACAAACAAAAGAAAAAAACAAAAAATCTATTTTTCCTCATAATCACTGCTATTGACTATGTATTAATTACTAATGATTAACCAGGGCCTTAATTTTATAGGTTGACAGCTGTTGAAACACATCACCAAACTGCCGAGCTATGCTCGTGTCCATTTTAGCGTTACAAGCGATTATTTATTCTTTCTTTCTTTCTTTCTTTCTTTCTTTCTTTCTTTGTATTTCTTTCTTTTTTTTCCATTTGCCGGAAGCAGGCGTTAAGCGTCCGATAGCAACTTTTCCATTCTTTCTTTCTTTCTTTCTTTCTTTCTTTCTTTCTTTCTTTCTTTCTTTCTTTCTTTTTTCTTTCTTTCTTTCTTTCTTTTCATTTCCCGGATGCAGACGTTAAGCGCCCGATAGCAATCTTTCTTTCTTTCTTTCTTTCTTTCTTTCTTTCTTTCTTTCTTTCTTTCTTTTCTTTTCATTTCCCGGATGCAGACGTTAAGCGCCCGATAGCAATCTTTCTTTCTTTCTTTCTTTCTTTCTTTCTTTCTTTCTTTCTTTCTTTCTTTCTTTCTTTCTTTAAGACCAAACAGTGCTCTCTGATATATCTTATTTTCTTCGTCTTTTCTCGCAATCAAAACGGAATGGTCCTTTGTTTAAATGAGGCAATGGCGGGGCGTAACGTAAGATCTAACAAAGGAACGAAAGAACAAGAAGAATTATAATAAGATTATTAATATTTCTATATAATATGGATAGTGGCATGTTTTTTTTATATATTATAGATGATAGTATTCGTAGTCTATTATTATTATTATTATTACGTGTTTATTACTAAACAGGTCAATTTCGTTTATTCTGATAAATACTAGTGTTTCCAAATCTGCGAGCAATTTTCTTTCCTTCACAATTACTTAGTAAATGCAAGAATCCATTTCGGGAAGAAGTCGAATTCTTTCAGTTGATTATTTTTCTAAGGACCATTGTCAAAAGGCCTTCATTTGAATGAAAATTATTCGAGTGTGTAAATTTGAATAGTAAAAGAAAAAACCTTTTTGTTTTTTTTTTAAATTAGAGAAATACTTTAAGAAGTGAATTTTAGACTCTAGAAGGCATTGGTGGACTACGAAAGCATGAAACATTTTATTGGGAAAACGTTGTGGACATTTATATGTAACGAAGCATAATGTCGCATTATTAGATGAATACAAATCGACATGTACGGGCGTAGTCATGTATGTCATCTGACTGAAGCGATCACCAAATGTATTTAAAAAACTGAAAGGCAGATATGTTGTGAATTCAATGTCACACACAAATGCTGAATGTAGAAGAAGGAGGAAAAAAAAAGAAAGATGAAGGAGAATTAAATGAAGTATGAAATGACGATAGAAAGAAAGAATAAGAAAGAAAAAAAAACAATAATAAAAATTGGTAACAAAGAAAAAATCGGAGGAAAAAGAATAACTAATTTAATGAATGAGAGAAAGAGAAGAGAAAGGAGAGAAAGAAGGAGAAAGAAAAAAAAGAAAAGATTAGGGAAAGAAAGAAAGAAAGAAAGAAAGAAAGAAAGAAAGAAAGAAAGAAAGAAAGAAAGAAAGAGAAAAGATCAGAAATGAAAGTAAAAAGAGAAAGAAAAAGAGGAAGAGAAAGGATAAGGAACGGAGGGAATTAAAAAGAAAGAAAGAAAGAAAGAAAGAAAGAAAGAAAGAAAGAAAGAAAGAAGAAAGCAGGAAAGAGAAAGGATTGAGAACGGAGGGGGAAAAGAGAAAGAAAAAGACGAGAAAAGGATTAGAAATGAGAAGAAACAAAACGAAAATAAGGAAGAAAGAAAGAACGAAAAAAGAAAGAGAAAAAAGAAAAGTTTAGCAACGGAGGGAAAGAAACAGAGAAAAAAGAAAGTGAAAGGAGCTGAGAGAAAGGATTAGGGACGGAGCGGGGAGGAAATAAAAAATAGAAAGAGAGATAGAGGAAGCGTTAGGAGCAGAGGGAGAGAAAGTGAAGAGAAGAGAGATAGAGGAAGGGTTAGGAGCGGAAGAAGAGAAAGAGAAAAGAAGCGAGGTAGAGGAAGGATTAGGAGCGGAGGGAGAGAAAGAGAAAAGAAGAAAGGTAGAGGAGGAGTTAGGAACTGAGGGAGAGAAAGAGAAATGAGGTAGAAGAAGGGTTAGATGCGGAGGGAGAGAAAGAGAAGAGAAGAGAGGTAGAGGAAAAGTTAGAAATGGAGAGAGAGAAAGAAAAGAGGAGAGGTACAGAAAGAGTAGGTGTGGAGGGAGAGGAGAAGAGAAGTAAATGAAAGGTTAGGAGCGGAGGGAGAATAAGTGAAAAGAAGAGAGAGAGTTTGGAGGGGAGGGGGAGAAGAGAGGTAAATGAAAGGTTAGGGAGCGGAGGGAGAGAAAGTGAAAAGAAGAGAGAGAGAGAGTTTGGAGGGGGGGGAGAGAAGAGGGTAAATGAAAGGTTAGGGAGCGGAGGAAGAGAAAGAGAAAAAGAAGAGAGAGAGAGAGTTTGGAGGGGAGGGGGGAGAAGAGAGGTAAATGAAAGGTTAGGAGCGGAGGGAGAGAAAGTGAAAAGAAGAGAGAGAGAGAGTTTGGAGGGGAGGGGGAGAGAAGAGAGGTAAATGAAAGGTTAGGAGCGGAGGGAGAGAAAGTGAAAAGAAGAGAGAGAGAGAGAGTTTGGAGGGGAGGGGGAGAGAAGAGAGGTAAATGAAAGGTTAGGAGCGGAGGGAGAGAAAGTGAAAAGAAGAGAGGAGGAGGGAGAGTGGAGGCGGGAAAGAGAAGAGAAGTAGATGAAGGGTTAGGTGCAGAGAGAGAGAGAGAGAGAGAGAGAGAGAGAGAGAGAGATAGGAAGAGAAAAGAAGAGAGGTAGAGGAAGGGTTAGGAGCCAAGGGAGAGAAATGAAAAGAAGAGAGAATGTTTGGAGCGGGAGGGGGGAAGGGTAGAAAGGTAAATGAAGGGTTACGAGCGGAGGAAGAGAAAGTGAAAAGAAGAGAGGAGGAGGGAGAGTTAGAAGCGGAGGAGGGAAAGAGAAGAGAAGAGAGGTAGATGAAGGCTTAGGTGCAGAGAGAGAGAGAGAGAGAGACAGAGAGAGGAAGAGAAAAGAAAAGAAATAGAGGAAGGGTTAGGAGCGAAGGAAGAGAAAGATTAAATATTTTCGGAAATTAGGTAAATGTAATAAAATTGAAACCGCCAAAAGGAAAGAAAGAAAGAAAAAAGTAAATTAGGAAAAGAAAAAAGGAAAAAAAAAAGAAGAGGAAGACCCATGAAAGAAAGCAAGAAGGAAAGCAAGAAAGTAAAGGAATGAAGAAAATATTAAAGAGGAAAATTACCGAAAATGTAGTCGGCAGAATGAGAAAGAAATTCTGAAGAGAATAAAGTTAAGAAAAAGGCAAAAAAAAAAAAAAAAAGAAGGAAAATTAAATGAAAGAGAAATACATTTAAATTCGGAAGAAAAATTAGGAATAAATAAAATACTAACACAAGAAAGAAACTGAATAAATAAAAGCCATTCTAAAAAAATGTGAAAAAAAAAAAATAGAAGAGAATTTTTTTCTTTAGATCAATTCGTATCACGTAAGAACGATTTTGATGAAGGATTCGCCCTGATTATGTGTTGGTCAGAATTTCGACCCTTGGCCATTTTATTTTACTCAACAAATAAGAGGAATGATTAAAACACAAACGCTGATCATGCGTCGACTACAAGATTCTTCAACGGAAATCATGGAAGAAAAATCTCAAAATGAAACAAAAAACGAGGAAAGAAAAAGAAGTGAATTAAAAAAAAAAGATAAGTGGCTGGAAACAAATATTTAAATTCGATCACTGTTCTCCACAACTTCTTGTCTTTTTGCTATCTCTCCTAATCCTTGTCTCACCAACCATTTACCCCATTTACACAAACCCGTTAAATAGGTTATTTTCTGCATTTTCTCCTTTCTATCTACTTCACTAGGTCCTGTGAGTATCAAATTTACCAAGACTCTTTTTCTCATTATATGCCCTAGAAATTTCAAGTGTCTTTTTCTGATTATAAGTATCCTCCTTTTTGATTGCTTTGTTTTGTTGTGTTTTACGGTATATCAACCTCAATGGGTTATTTAATGTCGACAACCTTTTTTTTTCCTGGTAATATTTTGTTTTGCTAAAAATCTATTTCTGGAAATATTTTTCCATCAAAAATGTATAGCTGTTAATATTATTTTAAAACATGTATTGCTGGTAATATGTTTTTTTTTTCAAAAACGTATTGTTGGTAATAATTCTTTCAAAAATATATTGCTGGTAATAGTTTTTTTTTTCTTCAAAAATTTATTTCTTGTAGTAATTTTTACAAAGTATTTCTGGTATTAAAACCTATTTTTACACTTTTATAATGCTTCTTTCATCATTTTACGGAGGTTAACTATTTGCCCATAGCTGGGACCCTAACAGGTGCTACTACTCCGGATCAGAGTGGACCTGGGAACAGCAGCAATTAAGAGGTAGTTTCACGCTCCTAAAAACCTCCTGATCAGAGGCCTTGCTGTTGGACGTAGTTTATCGTCTTACCCTGTACGCGGACGTAGTTTATCGTCATACCAAGGACGGTTTTTTGATTGCATTTTTCTAAAATCTTCGTCGTTGCACAAATGACCAGTCCATGATATTCTCAGCGTCTTTCTGTAAATTTCAGTTGCCTCAAATCTCTTCTTCATCATTGCCAACATTCATTGTTATATTAGTAGACAGACATTACATGGCAAATGTTCAGATCAAATCTGTTATTCCATAGTGTCACCAATTCAGTCATTTACAGCAAACATACGCCATGTCACTTCCACGGAGTCGAGATACTTTCATTTCATTCGCGATCTAAACATAAGAAGAAAGTTTCACTCATCCTTTTCACAATAACTGCTGTTTTTTAGATGAAACTCCCGCGTGTGTGCTTCATTGAACGCCCAAATAATAAGCTCATGTCAAGAGTCAATCTTTATTTATTCTCATAATTTTCATTTCCTATCGCCTCATACCACACACCTCATTCATCAATACTATTTTAACACTAAACCTCTGCACTACAAACTTTAATTCTTCATGTCAAGGGACAATCGTTATCTAGCCCCCTCATCCTTTACTTCCTACCAACACACATTTTATCCAAGTCCCACGCTTAATTGATCATTACTATTACAATAGTCAGTCAGTGTTACACGCGTGATACACGCTTACGTGATCATGTAACTTACGATACATTACTGACGAGGCAGATTTTTTCCCGCGGTAGACCAGTTGCCATCCAAGGCTATAGGGCCCAGTCTGTCCTGCTATTTACTAATAGCTAGGGGAGGGAAGAAGAAGAGGAATTATACTTTTCAAAAGGTTATTAGAACGTAAGTGAATATAATGGATTCGACTGGAAAGTCAATCAGTCAGTTATGTGCCATGTGTGATACACGCTTAGGCGATCATGTATCTTTCAATACATGACCGACAAGGCAGATTTTTCCCGCAGTAAGGTTGCCATTTCTTTCTGCGGTAGATCAGTTGCCATCCAAGGCTATAGAACCCGGTCTGTCCTGCTATTTACCCATAGCTGGGGTGGAGGAGAAGAAGAGGATTCATACCTTTCCCAAGGGTGTTAGCACGTAAGTGTATGTCATGGATTCGACTTGAATTCGATCTCGGCTCTCCGATTCCTTACTCCGAGCCGTTATCCATTACTCTACCGTGAGTGGCTCTTGAAGCTTACTGTAGGTGAATTCTAGTTTTTAAATTCTAGCCTCATCAAATGTCGCAGATTAAGACATTTCCTTTTCAGCCTTAGCAAAATCTTGGTAATGTTGAAAATGTTTCTGACCAAGTGGTTGGGATACATTTTGAATTTTTTTCTACATATACGGCAACTCTCCAGTAGATATTATTGTATATATGAATATAAATAAATATATTATTGTCTGTACACGACGAAATGGACAAAGTCCGATAATTATTTTAAGTTATCTTCTGTTTATACGTTATTTTTATAGTAAGGTCTCTATAAATAACGTATAACAATAAAATCTATTAAAATAATTGTCGGACTTTGTCCATTTTGTAGTGTGTTACATCATTTGTTTACGTTTAGATACGTTTCAAGCAGATATGAACATTCGAGGGAAATCAAGAAAAATTGTAGTTTAAAAGCAGTAAAATCGATCTTGCTAACCAGACGCTCCTCTGTAGCTAAACTGATATAGAACGTCAGGCTATATGGCAGTTCCGTATAGGATAGAGGTTCGATTTCTCGGACATTCAGGCCGGTAAATGTTGTTAATACTGTTTATTATAAACAGAGCATTTACTTAAATATTTGTATCTATAAAAATGACGTATAAACAGAAGATAACTTAAAATTATTGCCTATATAAAAGTTTATATTTTGTGGTGTTGCGAACTGCGGAAAAGGATTTGGTCTACACATATTCCACATTGACTTGCGACACAGTAATGGAAAAGTAATTGGTTCATTTTTGGAAGTCATCAGGCCAATTTATATTCTTGCAACATTTTATTCTATTGCGCACTCCATTGTGAATATTTGAATTTCTTATATAGTTGAATATATTCGGATATAAAAATATATATTGTACATTTTTTCTGAAGGCACCAATAATGATTCTAATAAAGAAATTTAAATATCTGAGATATTTTTTTTTTAACCAGAGGAGCGAATGTGCGACATTAAAATCCGAAGTCGCGTTGTGATTGCGAAAGATGCTAAGCAGGTTACTAAGAAACAGGAAAAAAACTTCATTAGAAAAAAAGAAAATAGTACTGAACTGATACGTGATATCAGATCTATATGGCAGTGAATGCCGGACAATCTCCTCAAACATGAAGAAGATACTTGAATCAACAGAAATGTGATCTTACAGAAGGATACTGAGGATATATGAAGGATATGAGGATAACATATATTTTATATATATATATATATATATATATATATATATATTAATTGATTTAAAATATGTTTTTTGCTACACAGTCCTAACCATGTTTCAAAATGGAAGCTAAAAAGCCACGAATTTAATCACAAAAATTAAATTCGTGGCTTTTAGCTTTCATTTTTGAAACATGGTTAGACCGTGTATGAAAAAAACATATTTTAAATCAATTAATTTATAATATAAATGATCTGTAAATTTACATTGAGCACTATTTTGTAAAAATAAAAATATCTATAAGAACACCGGATTATGTATCTTGCTGTTCTTTCTTTTTATTTATATACAGACATACATACATACATACATATATATATATATATATATATATATATATATATATATATATATATATATAGGATACATATAGGATACTGAGGATATATAAAGGATATGAGGATAACACACACACACACATATATATATATAAAAATAAAACATGTGAGCAACAATTAGGTTTTGGAGAGATTGCAAACAAAAAGGAAACTTATACCATCAAAAAGAGACAGCTGAAATTTCTAGGACGCATAATGAGGAAAGAGGGCTTAGAAAATCGGATACTCACGTGGTAGATTCAGGGCAAGAGAGACAGAGGAAAACAACGCATAACTAACTTAGTGAGCTTGAGTAAATGGATGGTGGAATTTGGAAGAAATAACAAAAAGACAAAATTTATGAGCTACACAGGACAGAAAATTGTAAGAGCCATGACATGAAAATCGTACATGAGGAAAAAGAAAAAGAATTTAACGTTTGTTTTTAAGAATAACTCCGGCGATGCCCCTTTCTCGATTTACTTGCCAAAATGAACACTTATCCATCATTTATTGTAATGAATCGAAAGAAAAGTTTCGTATCGTTTTTCAGTATATGTAGCGATTCGTTTGAACACGGGACTTCGTTTCAGAATAGACTGAAATTCATGATATATACACACGTTCTGAAAGGTGATATTTCAACCCATTTTTTATACGATTCGTGTGTGGATTTTGAATTGTTTTTTTTTTATGTTAAAAGTGAAAATGGAAGAAAAAAGATTCCTTTTTGTCACTTATCACTCATTTATTTCCGGAAATGCAAAAAGCGCTGCACAAACAGCAAAAAGAAACATGTGCAATTTATGGAAATGGTGCCATATTTGAGAGAACTGTTCGGAAGTAGGTCACTAGGTGCAAAAGTGGAAATCTTGATCTTGAAGACATTGAAACGCTAATTAAAATTTATTCAGGTAATACGACACGGGACATCGCAGAGATGCTCCACATATCTCCTGTGAACGTTGCAAGGCATTTGAAAGCTTTTATGTAAATTGCTACGATAATTGGGTGCCTCAAGATTAAATTAAATATATGTAACCGCATTTCTCTGGTCAAACGTAACAAACATGACCTATTTTTAAAAAGAACGGCTCGCCAGAAATTGGTACAGGTTGGCAAGGATACCCTATTGCACATGCCATATTCAGTTCATCTTGCACCTTTAGATTATAATTTATTTCGATCCAAGTAAAAATTTCCTTAATGGAAAGATTTCAAGATGTCTCTCTGTTATATTCCGTGCTAAGGGAATAAATACTTAACACCAGGTGGATAAAAGTAAAAAGGTTTATTGTACAATATGAAATATGGTACAGTTATATACACAGGTCAATCTAGTAGTGAGTGCCACTAATTGCAAGGTCAGACGTGCTTGCATAGTCTTGCTCTAACTCTTAATATTTAACAGCACTCCTCTCACGAGGGATGTATGTGGCACAAGGCCGAGTTTACCGTGGGTTCTCCCAGCCCGTAGGCTCGGCCAAAAATATTCCCTTAGAACCCGCATAAACGGGTTCAGGGTCTGGCTACCTCCTCGGACGAAGCTTTGCCATTCGGCAAAGCCTCGTCCGGGTTCCTCTCTGCTAAAGCAGAGAGTTCGACAGAAGTCGCACACAGTCAGAGACTGCGTCTACCGCTATATTTAACCTCCCCCACGTGGGTCGAATGTGTCAGAAGGCCGAGTTTATCGTGGGTTCTCCGAGCTCATAGGCTCAGCCAAAAATATTCCCTTAGAAACCGTATAAATGTGTTCGGGGTCTGTCTACCTCCTCGAACGAATCTCTGCCCTTCGGCATAGCTTCGTCCGGGTTCCTCTCTGCTCAAGACAAAGAGTTCGACAGTTAAGAACAGGAGGGAGCACTATTCTCTCTCTCTCACTCTTTTATTTATTTCTGTAATAATATCAGAAAAGGTGGCAAAAGGCCTAAAAAGAGGGGTGGGGAAAAGTACGGTCATCATCTGTCTTAATTTAAAAACTTAGCTAGCCACATCCGCTGACCCAAACACACAAACAATATTCCTAACACCAAAACAACACACTCTTACTTACCTTTCTTACTACATTCACCAAAATACCTCATTGTCCCAATGAAAATCTAACTAGTCCCCATATGTACAAATCGTGGGGGAGGGGAATAAAACAAGTTAAAAAAATCCCCAATGTGTCTTCTCGCTCTCACTCTTCCTCAGGTCTCTCGTAGACGGTTGACTTTATAGGTACTTACTACCTATAGTGTAATCATTCATGGGGGTTAATGGTTATTCCATTACATCACTCTCCGACATAAATGCTTTTACATTGTAAGAATTTATTTGGATAAGTACCGGTATCTGAATTCGTGTTGGATTTATTTTTCTTTCTTATTTAAATAGTGTCTGTTACGCCTATCAGCTGCGTATTTGAGAAATCTTAATAATGACAGGGTACTTACCGACAGGAATATAACATCTGGTCTCCCCCTGTTTTGCTTTCCGTAAAAGGGAAAATAGAGAACATGGCTGAGCGGTAAAGTATAGCGGATCAACTAATGTTTTTTTTCTACAGAGGTTAACAACGTATCTTAATCTATGTGTGTGGGTAATTCAGTTCTCTCGTCGTTTGCGATGACTGAAATGGATGAAAGTGCTTGATTTCGTTCGGTCCTCCTGGCTACCAACTGAGCTGTTCTGAGTGACCTTTTATTCTCTGAGTCTCGTTAGTACGTACGTACGTACGTACGTACGTACGCCAACAACACCATCCCCGTCTTCCTCACAGACTCGCTATTTATGCCTGCGTCAGGGACAACTAAAATTTGCATACGAGATTTCTCGTTCGCTCGTGATTTCAGATTTTATAAATTCAAACTTGTTTGAATTCTTAGTCTTTTTTCTTTTCTTTTTTTTGTCCTTTGTACGTCTATCCGCGATATAGGAATTTCGGAATAATCCGTTTCTCTTTTAATACCGGTCGCGATTTTTCAACAGGACCCGACACGCCAATCAAACTCGCTTTGCGAGAGGTAAGGTTTCTCGTTCCTCTCAATGGGTTTATATATATTCTCTCTCTGTCTTTATCTCCCCGACTTCTTTAACTCCCGTGTTGCAACTGTGGTCATTGTAAGAATTACGATTTTACAGTTGGAGACCTCAGCCCCAGGTCCAATCGGTTTTGAATTCAAAGTTGTCCTTCTCATAGACTGGTTGCTAATCAAGGCTCAAGAATCCTGTCTACGTTGCAATATAACGCACAGTTAGGGGGATGAACATTAAAGGTTGTGTCATGCTTTCCCAAAATGTATTCGTGTGTAAGTGAATGCAACGAACTCAGTAGGGATTCGAACTCGTTACGCCGAGTTCATTTTCTGTGCCGATAACCGCGAGGTATTTACCCATCTACCCACGGGTATATGAGGTAGCACAGGACCGTTTTTTTTTTGTCTGTGGCGTAACCATGCACAATCATAAAACTAAGAAAAAAAAAATTGCCCCCTTCCCTGAGACCATTCCCGGGCTAGCGTCGGTATTTAACAACCCTCCGTATTTAAGTCAATGAGGGAGGCAGTGCTGCAGGGTTGTTACCCCCCAGATCAGAATTCGTCATATTTTAATGAGAAAACATATACTACACTTTGATTTCAATCCAACAGGCCGAGAAGCGATGGTATTTACCCACCTCCCAACGAGGTCGCTTTTAATGTCGAGTGCTCAACGACCAAAGGCAAAAAAAATCACCAATTCCTGTTATGCTGACCTTCCCTTTAATGTAATGAATGAGGTGCTGCTGCAGGGTTGAAATCATCGGGACCAGGCTTCTTCTCCATTGTATATTGATAGTGTTTATTCCCCTACGAGGGTTAACATTTAACACAAGGTTGTTTTAAATGAAGAGATGCACATCAGCCAATCAAAATATTTCCCAATTTTCCCGACTATTTTCACGCTGGAGTCAATATTCCACCGACACACACACTGTCTCTATTTTAGTGCAATGAAGAAGGTACTGTCACAGGGTTTGAATCCTTAGAACCAGGTTTCTTCTCCATTGATTCATCCAGAGAACAGATATCCCGGCCCGGAGACTGAGAGGTGATTTTATAAATGAAAGAAGAAATTATTTTAATGCTAAAATCTAATTCGTACTTGAACTAAAGTGACGTCACCATATAATAATTTCCATATATTCGCGTGGGAACGATAAGACGTATTTATTCTGTTTGTGTTCGCATGAGTGATTTTTCATGTATATCTTTTCTCGTTCTAAATCTCGTGACGCATGTGAGTCGAAGGATAAGCTGGGATTAATTCCAGAAGTTGCCAATTTTTAAGAGTAGAAATATTGTGAGAAGGATTTGCAAAGGATTGTCACAAGAGAGGAAGAGAGAGAGAACAAGAGAGAGAGAGAGAGGGAACGAGAGAGAGAGAAAGAGAGAGAGAAAGAGAGAGAGAGAGAGAGGGGGAGAGACAGAGAGTGAGAGATGTTAACAGAGAACGAAAAAGAGAACAGTATTATGAAAATTATACCTATGGTTCGAA